TTTTTTTTTTATGGATCATCGGAGCTTGAAAAACAGCCTACGTATAAAAGTATTTGGGTAAATGCCCGGAGCTTCTTTTAGAGTTCAGAGTAGGATACCCCTATAAGTGCCTCTGCCTCCCATAAAATGATTTGGTATTTAATTTTGCCAGAGTTGGGAGTTGGAGTCGGCCTACTAAAATTATCAGGAGTCGGAATCGAGTGTTTATTTACCGACTACGCAGCCCTGTACTGAAGACACAATTATTGACTTTTTACACAATGAAAGCAGCAAGACATATTTTGGAAAATGGCAACTGACAAATATGTTACCACCTTTGGTAGATACTTCTCATTATTATTTTCAAACTGACTGTAAATGACAAACTATAAGAAATCAAATGAAAAAACTTGTCTGAAATGTATATTCACACATTAGGAAAGCTAATCTGATCCTAACCATAGAAGGGTTATACGGGGGATGGTACCAATTCTCGAACCGTGTTAGAGTGAATCCGTGCTATAGAAGTGCCGTGTTATACGGGGGTTACCTGTATTATAAAACTGATGAAATTTACTTTACTTCAAAATTTATTTATTTTACAACTGAATTAAAAATATATATCTAGATTCATATTCTTAATATGACATTATTATATTTATCATTAAATTCAAATTACTTCTGAATAGTCTAGCTTAGAAGTAAATCAATATGAAAATATTATCAGTTGATTGTTTGTTTTTTCTAATTAAACAATATTTGAAAATATTTTCATTAGTAATACTGAGATTGTCAAACACTTAAAACTCATTCTTCTTCATATTGTAAAATATCATTTTCTGAGATTGCTAACTTTTCTAATTAATATAGTTATTACTAAACCTAGTATCAATAATCTACATTAAACTGTAAAATTATTATTATCATGAATGCTAAGATAGAATGATGTGTGATTACCACATTTGATGGTATATAAAATGCACTCAAAAACTGCTGTATCTTACAAAGGTAATGCCTCCATACTTTGTGCAGTACAAAGAACAAAATTAGTGTGAAGCTATTGAGAAAGGTTATGTTTCTGCAGTAAAATTTAGTACCAAATAATGTTGCAAATTATCATTAGATTTTTTGCATAGCATTTGTCATAAACATTATTTTGTCCTAATTAATATAAACACAAATAGTGTGTTTGAGATTGTATGATAATCTCAGTTTATTCTATAAAAAGAGTGTTGGATTCAGCTCTCTTGAGGGTTAATCTGGTGTTGATTTTGGCTGTGATGACCTCTTGCTAACCTGTTTTGCATAATTCTTATTTTCATATTTTTTCCAGGTAGGTAAATTTATTTATTTATTTAATTTATTTATTTAATTTTTATTTGCTAGTTTTATTTTCTAATACTAAGGCATCAGGTTGTCACAGTTTGCTTATTAGTTAATTGTGTATGTATGGAATATGTACTAATTATCATGTATGGAATATGTACTAATTATCATGTATGGGTTTTTGTATTATGTTTTTGTAATTATATTTTTGTACTGGATATCAACTGAAATTGTATTATGCACAGGATGTTGCATATATGTATTGATTATTGTATATTATGTTTTGGTTTTTGCACGTACAGACTTGGACTTTGTACAGAGATTATTTTTTTATTATATTATATTTACTGTATTTGTTTGTTATGGGACAATGTTTGTTTGGTGTTTTCCATTTTATTTTATTCCCCATACAAAAGATATTTGTACCTTGTACTAAATAAATAATGATAATAATAGTTCTGGAAGCAAAGATCAGATGGAGATGCAGGTAATATAATTTGCATGGTAAGCAAAGTTGTGGGTTCAAGTCCCGCTCAAGCTGACTCTTTACTTCTAGAAAGTCTAAATTAAAATTAATTTACTATAATTATTAAAATTATCACAAGATGACAGCTTAACTGCCTACCTCTAGACAAATTACTTCATGTTAGTTACCTTAGCCTAATCATAGCCCAAAAATCATATTCAGAAAATCATCTGGCTTTAATCAAAAATTGGGTTTATAGAGTTATTCTATATATATAAAATATATATATATAAACAACAAATTGTAATATTCTTGTTATATAAAAAATTTACCTGTAAATGTATTGATTTTGAAAAATGTTCATTATTATTATTATGTTCAGTATTATGTTCAATATTTCATTTTTGTTTGGTGTTGTAAAATTATATATTTAACTTAGTTAAAAGTTTGTTTATGCCTCAAGAACATGAGTTTTTGATATGACATAAATATTGAAGCAGGGCTGTGAAGTCGGAGTTGGGAGGAATTTCTGACCAGAGGCATTGGAGTCGGAGTAGAAAAAAATGTGTCGACTCCAACTCCGACTCCCGCATTTTAAATTTACTTTAGTTTTTTTATTTAAATGAAAGAAAATCTATTTTATATTTATTAATTTTTAAAAATCTTTTTGTATTTTGTAATAATTCATTTAATTTATTAAATATGTAGTGTTCTTTGTAGTATTTGTGTTTAGTAGTAAAATTATTTTGACCCAATTGAATTTAAATATTTTGGATCATTCCTTTATTATTCCTGCTCTAAATAAGTACTCTTATTTTTCTGAATGAACCAGACTAATTGATCAGAGTTCATATTTTTCTTTTCTAAACAAGGGGCTGAAGTAGCTAGATTGCACACTTTTTAATTGAACTAATTAATGGCAACATCTATGACAAGGGGATGTAAAAGCTCATCCACAGATATGACAAATGCCTCAATCTTCATGGTGATTATGTCAAAAAGTAACCATGTCTGTACCTAACTTTTGGTAATAAATTCATTTTTTTATTTACAATTGTCTTTTTTTTTTTTTTTATGGATCATCGGAGCTTGAAAAACAGCCTACGTATAAAAGTATTTGGGTAAATGCCCGGAGCTTCTTTTAGAGTTCAGAGTAGGATACCCCTATAAGTGCCTCTGCCTCCCATAAAATGATTTGGTATTTAATTTTGCCAGAGTTGGGAGTTGGAGTCGGCCTACTAAAATTATCAGGAGTCGGAATCGAGTGTTTATTTACCGACTACGCAGCCCTGTACTGAAGACACAATTATTGACTTTTTACACAATGAAAGCAGCAAGACATATTTTGGAAAATGGCAACTGACAAATATGTTACCACCTTTGGTAGATACTTCTCATTATTATTTTCAAACTGACTGTAAATGACAAACTATAAGAAATCAAATGAAAAAACTTGTCTGAAATGTATATTCACACATTAGGAAAGCTAATCTGATCCTAACCATAGAAGGAGCAGTTGAAGAGACTGCAACGCTGACCAGTGTGTTGCATTTTGCCATCTTTGCAGCAGAGAAGTAATGATATGTAGAGATATGATGACAAGTGTGACAGTTTCACTTGCATTGCAGTTTAAGATATTATGCATAAATATTTTTCAGAAACAAGTCACCAATGTCAAACAAAATAATGAATGATGTAAATAGTGATCTTAATTTTTTGATAATTTCCAAAATATTATATAAAGTTTTGAAAGAAATTGGCATTATTTACAATCACCACAAGAAAGATTGTGCTGACCAATAAACATGAAATTATAGCTTAGAGGCACAGAAATATCAGAAATTTTTGACAGTATCATTCAGAAATAAGATATTTTCACTTGATGAAACTTGGTAAATGCTGACACAGTTGTCAAGATAAAACTGAAAAATCTGGTAAGAATGCATTTTTGAGAGGCTTATTATCTGAAGTGAAAGAGCCATATGGAAAGGGCTAAATTGTGCTCACTGTAGATGCATGGAATACTTTGGAGAGTGCTCTCCTTCTGTCTAGTCAAAAAATACAGGCAATGGTGTCTACTTTGAAAAATGGTCTAAGTTGCTGCCAAAACTCCCACCATCAAGTGTAATCATAATGGAGAATGTCTCACATCACAGTGTAAGATCAGAAAAAATTCCTACAAGTGCATGGAAGAAAGAGATCACCAGAAAATAGTCCACAGAGAAGGGCATTTCTTGGCAACCAGAACAAGAAGCCTGAACTGATGCTTCTGGTGTAAACAGAGAAAGTACATTTTAAATAAAATTAAAAATGAATTTAGCATAGCCAACGGTAATTTATGTTTAATAACAATATAATAAATATAATTACAACTTTTAACAAAGATAAAACTTTGCTTCAGTTTTTCAAATTTTTTTTACTACAGAGGCAGTAGCCTAAAAGGAAAGATCGTCTCCATGAGTTTTATGATTTTATGAAATGCAGATGGTGCAAACAACGGATTAGAAGAAATGAAGCAAAGTTTTATCTTTGTTAAAAGTTGTAATTATATTTATTATATTATTATTAAAGAGAAGGTACATTTGCTACCAAATAGATGATATAGTTGCTGCTGCAGGCCATAAATTACTTTGCCATTCTTCTAACTTCTGCCATTAAGTGGTTTGGAATAATATATTTTTAAACTGTCCAATGTAAAAAAATTATTCAAAGAAGGAGTAAGTGAAATTACTTGTGAAATATGGACATCTTTTGTCTGGCATGTCACTGAAAAAGTGATGCAATTTTGAGAACTGGATGTTCTTCAAGAAAGCAATGATTCATCCTTTCTAATAAATCATTTTGAGTCAGATTTTGAAAGTGAAACGAGTGGTATTTACAGACTGTCAGACAACGAGTAAAAGTATAATACCTTTAAGTCTATTTCAAGAGCAACAATTTCTGGTTAAGTGTACAAATACAATTAAAACAGCAAAAAATTGTTAGAAATTAAATAATAAATAATAAAAATATTAAGGTAAAAGGTAATAAATTGGAGTAATGTAGCTTTGTTTTTTATTCTGAAGAATATATAGCTAGTGCTAATTTTTTTTACCCCTTTTCTGAACTCCTATGAGTATTACAATCCATTTGTCATACATGTCATATTTATTTTCTTTTTTATTTGGAAACATGCTTTAAGAAATTCAAGACTAGGATGATAATAAGTTAAGTCTAATATTCATCAGTAATATTTCTGATAGAGTTGCCAATTTTATTATAGTATTATTATTAAAAAGTTTCTCATGTTGATCTAGTCACATGTTTCATTCCAGATTTCATTATACTATACACTTCCAATAAATGCTAAAGATTTAAACACTCTTTTTTCTGAATATTACCTGATGAAATATGGGTGCATCTAACATGCCCTTGGATCTTATATGTCAGAGGTGGCAAACTATGGCATGTATGGCCAAGGTAGCATATTGAGAGAAACCATCTGGTATGTAACATATCACATGATTTTGGTTTATCACCTATCTTTTTTAATCATCCTTTCAGTTTATTGCCTAATTGTTCTTTTTCAAACAGCTTTTTTACAGTTATTCTAATTAATTAAGGCATATTTGCTTTCATTTCTTGGCATATTGTTATTCAAAATTAATAAAATTTGGCATGCAAAAACATTTTTAAAGACAATTATGTTCACTACATGGCACAAGGACCAAAAAAGTTTGCCTTCCCTATTACTTATCATCAAATATAGCACATCTTAACATTGGAATAATGTTAAAAATATAAGATTACAATATATATAATTATATATATCATAAAGCTATTATGACAAACTCACAGTATTGCAGATTTTAACAAATGTTTTAATGTTTATCTTTTATTTTATATTTTTATTATAAAAATAGCAAGCTAATACCTTTTTTGAAGTTAGCAAGCAGTGGTCAAGTAGACATAACTTATGTATCTAAACAACAGTGACAGAATAGATAAAACTGACTGAATTTTATTTATTCAAAATTCAAATGTCCCTGAAAATAAATGATATACTACTGTCCTCTATAACATTTAGTGGGCAATAGGAACTGCTATGGAATTGAAGGTTCCCAGAGTTGTAGAGCTGTCTTAACTCTTGGCCATTTGGCTGACATATCTGTTTCCTATCTTTCATTCATAATTAGAAATTTGATAAGCAATTGATTCTTGATTATCTAATTTCTTAATTTTTTCCCCCCATTTCTTTTCAAATTTTATTGATACGTATTGTACATCTTTAAAGCTAAAGGTGCATATTTATCAAAAATATTTTTGTTATCTGCTGTAAAAAGAAAGTGTAACTTTATGACTTTTTAATACTTTTAAAATGGACTCAGAATTCTAATGTAACTCAATTTTATTTTTAATTTGAATATTTTTTACCAAAAAGAATGTCAGTCATGATTTACTACAACAATAATCTTGGATAGGTTATGGCTTTTACTTTTTCAACATTTTAAATTAGTAAATATGTGATAATGATTTCAAAAAGAAAACAAATCATAATAAAAAATGTTATTTACAACATCAAATTAAAAACTTTATAATATATTATGGTAAAAAGCAAGCTGTCAACTTTTTTAAACTGTTTTATCATCAGATACTTAAAATGAATAATGTTAGATTATATATTGATATTTATTCTAATTATTTCTGTTCTATAGTTTTTTTTTTGAAACCTTGAATATCAATCAAATTGAACTTATAAAAAAGGAATATGTTTGTAGATTAGATCCTAAAAGAATAAGCAAGCATTTTTACCCAAAAATATAGAGCTGCAAAATTTTCTAATTTCTGCTTCCAACTAGAAAATTTGGAACCCAAAAATCACCCACTGTATCTTCTATCTTGTAAATGTTAAATTGAAATATACATCCAGATGTTAAAAGTTTAATGCTAAATCAAGAAATGCTAAATTATAGCCTAAATTTACCAGTAATTGTTTTCATGAAGCACTAGTTGGGACTACTAAAAATGAATGTGTAATCAAGGTAAATGACCAAAAAAACATTAAGATGTGATTTCACTATATATTAAAATGACAATAATAAATTCAACAAATTTTCTGCTTTTACTAGAGCAAAAAGTATAGTACATACAAAACTAAAGTATTTTCATGCAAATAAAAGCAGAAAATTTACTGAATGTATTGGTTCTAGATTTATTATTGTTAATTAAATATCATTAAACATTCTCCTAAGTTAATGTAAGAGTGGTACAACAGTTTAGAAAACCTAAAGCAAAATTCATCCTTTCATCATTTTCATTGGGACTTGATTAAATACTAGAAAAACTATTATTGAGATTTAGATTTAAAAAACTTAAATTTCTTTAAATTACAAATTTATAATTTATCATTTTGTGGTCANAATGGCAACTGACAAATATGTTACCACCTTTGGTAGATACTTCTCATTATTATTTTCAAACTGACTGTAAATGACAAACTATAAGAAATCAAATGAAAAAACTTGTCTGAAATGTATATTCACACATTAGGAAAGCTAATCTGATCCTAACCATAGAAGGAGCAGTTGAAGAGACTGCAACACTGACCAGTGTGTTGCATTTTGCCATCTTTGCAGCAGAGAAGTAATGATATGTAGAGATATGATGACAAGTGTGACAGTTTCACTTGCATTGCAGTTTAAGATATTATACATAAATATTTTTCAGAAACAAGTCACCAATGTCAAACAAAATAATGAATGATGTAAATAGTGATCTTAATTTTTTGATAATTTCCAAAATATTATATAAAGTTTTGAAAGAAATTGGCATTATTTACAATCACCACAAGAAAGATTGTGCTGACCAATAAACATGAAATTATAGCTTAGAGGCACAGAAATATCAGAAATTTTTGACAGTATCATTCAGAAATAAGATATTTTCACTTGATGAAACTTGGTAAATGCTGACACAGTTGTCAAGATAAAACTGAAAAATCTGGTAAGAATGCATTTTTGAGAGGCTTATTATCTGAAGTGAAAGAGCCATATGGAAAGGGCTAAATTGTGCTCACTGTAGATGCATGGAATACTTTGGAGAGTGCTCTCCTTCTGTCTAATCAAAAAATACAGGCAATGGTGTCTACTTTGAAAAATGGTCTAAGTTGCTGCCAAAACTCCCACCATCAAGTGTAATCATAATGGAGAATGTCTCACATCACAGTGTAAGATCAGAAAAAATTCCTACAAGTGCATGGAAGAAAGAGATCACCAGAAAATAGTCCACAGAGAAGGGCATTTCTTGGCAACCAGAACAAGAAGCCTGAACTGATGCTTCTGGTGTAAACAGAGAAAGTACATTTTAAATAAAATTAAAAATGAATTTAGCATAGCCAACGGTAATTTATGTTTAATAACAATATAATAAATATAATTACAACTTTTAACAAAGATAAAACTTTGCTTCAGTTTTTCAAATTCTTTTTACTACAGAGGCAGTAGCCTAAAAGGAAAGATCGTCTCCATGAGTTTTATGATTTTATGAAATGCAGATGGTGCAAACAACGGATTAGAAGAAATGAAGCAAAGTTTTATCTTTGTTAAAAGTTGTAATTATATTTATTATATTATTATTAAAGAGAAGGTACATTTGCTACCAAATAGATGATATAGTTGCTGCTGCAGGCCATAAATTACTTTGCCATTCTTCTAACTTCTGCCATTAAGTGGTTTGGAATAATATATTTTTAAACTGTCCAATGTAAAAAAATTATTCAAAGAAGGAGTAAGTGAAATTACTTGTGAAATATGGACATCTTTTGTCTGGCATGTCACTGAAAAAGTGATGCAATTTTGAGAACTGGATGTTCTTCAAGAAAGCAATGATTCATCCTTTCTAATAAATCATTTTGAGTCAGATTTTGAAAGTGAAACGAGTGGTATTTACAGACTGTCAGACAACGAGTAAAAGTATAATACCTTTAAGTCTATTTCAAGAGCAACAATTTCTGGTTAAGTGTACAAATACAATTAAAACAGCAAAAAATTGTTAGAAATTAAATAATAAATAATAAAAATATTAAGGTAAAAGGTAATAAATTGGAGTAATGTAGCTTTGTTTTTTATTCTGAAGAATATATAGCTAGTGCTAATTTTTTTTACCCCTTTTCTGAACTCCTATGAGTATTACAATCCATTTGTCATACATGTCATATTTATTTTCTTTTTTATTTGGAAACATGCTTTAAGAAATTCAAGACTAGGATGATAATAAGTTAAGTCTAATATTCATCAGTAATATTTCTGATAGAGTTGCCAATTTTATTATAGTATTATTATTAAAAAGTTTCTCATGTTGATCTAGTCACATGTTTCATTCCAGATTTCATTATACTATACACTTCCAATAAATGCTAAAGATTTAAACACTCTTTTTTCTGAATATTACCTGATGAAATATGGGTGCATCTAACATGCCCTTGGATCTTATATGTCAGAGGTGGCAAACTATGGCATGTATGGCCAAGATAGCATATTGAGAGAAACCATCTGGTATGTAACATATCACATGATTTTGGTTTATCACCTATCTTTTTTAATCATCCTTTCAGTTTATCGCCTAATTGTTCTTTTTCAAACAGCTTTTTTACAGTTATTCTAATTAATTAAGGCATATTTGCTTTCATTTCTTGGCATATTGTTATTCAAAATTAATAAAATTTGGCATGCAAAAACATTTTTAAAGACAATTATGTTCACTACATGGCACAAGGACCAAAAAAGTTTGCCTTCCCTATTACTTATCATCAAATATAGCACATCTTAACATTGGAATAATGTTAAAAATATAAGATTACAATATATATAATTATATATATCATAAAGCTATTATGACAAACTCACAGTATTGCAGATTTTAACAAATGTTTTAATGTTTATCTTTTATTTTATATTTTTATTATAAAAATAGCAAGCTAATACCTTTTTTGAAGTTAGCAAGCAGTGGTCAAGTAGACATAACTTATGTATCTAAACAACAGTGACAGAATAGATAAAACTGACTGAATTTTATTTATTCAAAATTCAAATGTCCCTGAAAATAAATGATATACTACTGTCCTCTATAACATTTAGTGGGCAATAGGAACTGCTATGGAATTGAAGGTTCCCAGAGTTGTAGAGCTGTCTTAACTCTTGGCCATTTGGCTGACATATCTGTTTCCTATCTTTCATTCATAATTAGAAATTTGATAAGCAATTGATTCTTGATTATCTAATTTCTTAATTTTTTCCCCCCATTTCTTTTCAAATTTTATTGATACGTATTGTACATCTTTAAAGCTAAAGGTGCATATTTATCAAAAATATTTTTGTTATCTGCTGTAAAAAGAAAGTGTAACTTTATGACTTTTTAATACTTTTAAAATGGACTCAGAATTCTAATGTAACTCAATTTTATTTTTAATTTGAATATTTTTTACCAAAAAGAATGTCAGTCATGATTTACTACAACAATAATCTTGGATAGGTTATGGCTTTTACTTTTTCAACATTTTAAATTAGTAAATATGTGATAATGATTTCAAAAAGAAAACAAATCATAATAAAAAATGTTATTTACAACATCAAATTAAAAACTTTATAATATATTATGGTAAAAAGCAAGCTGTCAACTTTTTTAAACTGTTTTATCATCAGATACTTAAAATGAATAATGTTAGATTATATATTGATATTTATTCTAATTATTTCTGTTCTATAGTTTTTTTTTTGAAACCTTGAATATCAATCAAATTGAACTTATAAAAAAGGAATATGTTTGTAGATTAGATCCTAAAAGAATAAGCAAGCATTTTTACCCAAAAATATAGAGCTGCAAAATTTTCTAATTTCTGCTTCCAACTAGAAAATTTGGAACCCAAAAATCACCCACTGTATCTTCTATCTTGTAAATGTTAAATTGAAATATACATCCAGATGTTAAAAGTTTAATGCTAAATCAAGAAATGCTAAATTATAGCCTAAATTTACCAGTAATTGTTTTCATGAAGCACTAGTTGGGACTACTAAAAATGAATGTGTAATCAAGGTAAATGACCAAAAAAACATTAAGATGTGATTTCACTATATATTAAAATGACAATAATAAATTCAACAAATTTTCTGCTTTTACTAGAGCAAAAAGTATAGTACATACAAAACTAAAGTATTTTCATGCAAATAAAAGCAGAAAATTTACTGAATGTATTGGTTCTAGATTTATTATTGTTAATTAAATATCATTAAACATTCTCCTAAGTTAATGTAAGAGTGGTACAACAGTTTAGAAAACCTAAAGCAAAATTCATCCTTTCATCATTTTCATTGGGACTTGATTAAATACTAGAAAAACTATTATTGGGATTAACAAATAAAAAACTTTAAATGTTTAATTTAAAAATATTTAAAGATTATCTTTACTGATTCACAAGCTTTTGCATTAAATATGCAAATACAAGAAGGATTAGCAAAGTCAAGAATATGCATTACACGTGCTTTGTTTAGAAAAAATTGATTCTATATTAGTAGGTCTATAAGATGAGGCTTGGAAACCAAGTTTATGCCATTTACAGGCTACCAGTTGTACCATTTATAATCTTCATTTATGTTCTTCACCCAAAGAACCACAAGGTCTAACAAGGAGAAATCCAAGCTTTGACATCCTGAATTTTACTAAACTTCTACTGAATTTTTTTGCCAACTGAACTTGCCACCTAAAACTTTTTGCTTTCCTGAACATTCTAGATTGATAGTTCTATCAAATAATGTATCATTTGCTGTTAATTTGATTGCTAAGGATAAAGAGAGTCAGACTATCAGATACATAAAAATACATTTCATAACATAACTATGTTTTATTATATGTTTCATATCTGAGTTATTTCAATGTGTTAACTAGAGAGATGATTTTGTCTTTGATTATCTCAAAGTAAGCTAAAAACTCAAATTAAAATAATGCAGTTTAACAAGTTGTTGGAAGAAAAATTATTATTATAAAAGTTAAAGCCTTTCTAGTTTTTTTTAATTACAAAAAACAACCAGAATATAATTTTGGTTAGATTACTTTATTTAAACAATTAAAATACATTAAACATGTAAATATCAAACCAGATGTTTGATCATATTAAAACAACAGATTATTACAAATTAAGATCATAATAAATCACTTCCTGTATCACTTCCTGAGGAAATACAGAAGCTTAGAAAATTAGGAAAATTAAGGAATAAAACATAATTTAAATAATAAAATATAAATTTCATGCACTGAATATAATTGCTAAAAAATTTCCCATGAAATCTATTCAGACTCCAATGTATTATAATTGTTGTTGAATTTAAAAGCCACTTGATCTCACTAAATAGATTTATTTTATGCTTTTTACATCTGAATATTAGAAATTATAAATTATTACATTCAATAATGCAAAATTTCAAGCATTTTTCAGAAATACCAATATATGATTAAACAATTAATTAAAAATAATTTTACTTTTATTTTAAGTTAAACATTAACTAAAACAAATTAACAATGTTTATAAAAAGAGTATAAAAATGCACTCAAATATACTCTTGAGAAGCTGGAACACTAACAATATGCAACTCAACACCTTCCATACTCTTTCCAGCAAAAAACTTTAATGGGCAAATGTTTTCAGCCTCTTTAAGGGCCAGGCCTGCCTCTGGAATCTAGTTTGAAATATTCTGTATAACATTCAATTTTAAAATGGTTTGAAAATCTGAGGCAGGTCCCTTAAAGAGGCTGAAAAAATTTGTCCCATTAAAGTTTTATGCTGGACAGAGTACAGATGATGTTAAGTTGCTTATTGTTATACAGAGTGAAATTTACTCAATATGAAAGGAATAAAAAGAATAATAATGAATACTGACTAGGTATATGATATTTATTTTTAACATATATATATAATAATGTTTAATATATATATGTATATATAAAGATCAAATTGATCTAATAGGAAAACACTTATACCTTTCCATATGAAGTTAAACTAATTTTGATACATTTTGGATATTTTCCACACCATTAGAGTAATTTTACTACTACTAGACATTTATTAAACATTTATTCTTGGAATGATACATTCTCCTACATCCAATACTTTATTGTACAATATTACTATAGATCAAATTTCTAAAACACAAATAAATATATAACAACTTTTTAATTATTAAAATGTTTAATAAAATTCAATCCAAAATAACAACATCTTCAGTAGTTTCCTTCTTTTGATCTGTTGAATGAATTGCAGAATCATTGGTTATATTTTGAGATGTGGTTGCTGAATCACTTTCAAAACAGGTATCATAGTCTTTTTCATTAATATTAAAATCTGATAAAAATTTTTTACATTCTGCTTTTAACTGTGAGTAAGGTGTTTTCACAAAAGTGTATCTACGAATTCTTTCACCAAGGTTCGTATATGTTCCAAAACCCATCTGCTCCAATTTTGAAAGACAATTACGTGTAAAACTAATTGTATAACCTTTATTTAGATCTTCGCCAGATGACTGTGGATCATGAAAAAATTTCTTTTGTGTAACAAGTTGCAAAGTCAAGTCACGTTCTGGACAAATTAAAAAGTCTTTAATTTCATTTTGATACTCTTTTATGAATTCTTTAATATCTGAAGAGTATGTATATTTTTTTAAAACATCTGCAATTTTTTCAGATGATAGGCCTATTTGAGAATTTGAAGGTTTTGATATTGAAGCATCTTTTTCATTAGATGTTTTTGAAATTAACAAACTCTGAAGAACACTGGAATTTGAAATGGAAGTTACATTTTTGTGTATATCACTAAGAGAACTATCATTTCTTAATGTTGACAAAGGAATACCAGGTGTCACTACAAAAGGTTCATTAATGTTGGTTGTGAGTTTATCATGAGTAATTGATGATGCACAAGGGACTGCACTAACATTTTGTACACCATTAGCATCAGTTCTAGAATAATTTGCATTTTTATGTGCATTTGATATTGTTGAAGAAATGTCTCTTCTCTCTTCAGACATTGATTGAATTATATTTTTAATAAATACCATATTTCTGGTATAAGGTTCAGTTATCATTGCATGATTTAGAAGTATGAAACAGAGTAAATATTTTGCATGTAAAATTGCTTCAACAGAAATTTCATTATTCCAAGTAAAAATATCCACTGACTGATTCCAAATTACAGCTTCTACAATATTATCTAAAACATGTAATATACAAGCCAGACGAATTAATAAACTTGAAGAGAAAAATTGAAGTTTTCTTATGTTCCACTGATGCATTCTTATTGTTTCCATTAATTCTTTCTGTACTCTATAGAAAGTATTAAGAGCTTCTAGAGTAAATTTATAAGTAATTTTTGAATTTTTGTGAAGAGTAAAAATATCCTTAAATAACTTTTTAAAATCTTTACAACTACCTAATAATAAATGTTTAAAACTAAATTGCTTTTCTTCACTGCAAATGATGATAAAACAATTTTGAAGAAACTGTGCAAACTCGTTATCTCTAGAAATAAGAGTAAATAATTTATCAGGTTCAGAAAAAGCTGTTACATTAACACATGTATTTTTAATTATACCACTTATTGACTTCTTATTTAATATCCATGGTAATGCATTATTTAGTTTTAAAAGTATTTCTTTTTCTATTGAAGATGTCACCTGTTTTTGAAGAATTTCAATATTTGTGTACATCCCAAAGCCATGACCTTTGTTTTGTTTTAGTAATTCATACAATCCATCTATATCAAAAAATTCAAACATAAACTGTGGAATCATTTTTTCTGATGTGTCTGAAGACGACACATTATTCAATTCATTCCATACTTCCAATAACTGATGTTTCAAAACTTCAATGATATTCACTCTTTTAAGTGTAACTGGAGAAATCACTAATGTCCACAAAACAGGAGATTCTTTCCATTCAGAAGTTACTTCAATAATTGCTTCACTTCCCATACATGCAGCACAACAAGAGAGAAGAGGAAATAATAAACATTTTTCACTACATCCTAGAGATATAGCATGAGTTCTTAAATATTGTGTCACAGCAGTTGAGCACACTTCATTCAAGTTGAAAGAAATAGAAATTGTTTTATTATATCGCTTTTCAAATTCCTGGTAACTCAATATTTTCCATTCTGTATCAGATCCTGAGAACAAAAAAAAATTTTTTTCTAGCACAATAAATTCAATCAATCAACTGAAGTTGCTATATTCTTAACTATTTATATACAAAATAAATTTCATCAACAATTGGTTCAATTTTTCTTAATCAAATGTTAAAAATACATATTATATATAAATTTTTAATATATTAATAAAACTTAAATTAATAAAAATACAAATTACAGAAAATTACCAAACTTTCAAGAGATCTGTCCCTTAAATAATCAATTTTCTATTAAACAATTAAAATATAATGTATGAACTTAGAGTTTTTAAAATATTCTTAAATTCAAATATAAAAATTACTGCTTTATACATTATTAAATAGATATATCTGTATATACTAATTTGCAAAATTTTGGGATAATCATAGCCAGAATAAAGATCTGCTACTGATCTTTGATATCACTATATAAATATATTTAACAATAATCTTTGCAATTTTTGTGATCTACAGTGCATTAGATGAACTATACTATTTTATGATTTTATCAATCAAAATCATTTCTAGTTAATAACTATCTTTTTCTATGACAATTTCTTTATTCCAATATAACTCTTTTTTACTTTATTTAACTATGATATGACCATTAACAGTGCCTTTTTATCAAACCTATAATGTACCAACCTATAATGTACCAAGCTCACAATGGACCAACTGGGTGGTAAAGGATGAGGTCCAACATGTCTGGAAGAGCACCCCAAAAAATTCTTGTTGGTTTTTACTCCCCCCCCATAGATTTGTTCCTGGATCTCTCAGATCAGTAGGCTTATGTCTTAATTGCTTAGCCAAACATTTTCAATAATTTATGCTGATGGCTTAATCTTGACTTGCAATTATGAATTAAAAAAACTGATCAATAAGCTAAGCATATGATGTTTCCTTATCTAACACAAATATATTTTTTTAATTTGGTGTCTTTTATCCTATGAGCACTACAAGTGCCTTTTTTAATCATACCCATTGTGAGTTTACCCAGGTCCACAATAGCAGCAGACAAGTGAAGGACAGGGCCTGACATATCCAGTACAACCACTCCCCGAAAATTTCTGGGGTTTGTCAACGAGATTTGATTCTAGGTCTTCCAGAGTGGTTGACTAATACTTTAGCCATCTTGGCTAATCTGGCTATCATCAAATACATATTAATAAATAATATTTTTTCTTGCAGTATTCAAAATAGTTGTGTTAATGATTATAATAATAGCTTTTAACTGTGAGTAAGGTGTTTTCACAAAAGTGTATCTACGAATTCTTTCACCAAGGTTCGTATATGTTCCAAAACCCATCTGCTCCAATTTNATAAATTTCAAATTTGCACAATAAATTCATGCAAAAATTTTTATACACTTTAAACCAAATTTTCACTTTGATGGGAAACGATCAGATCTTAGTTTTCTCTAAATCTGCAAATACAGATTGATATTTCTTTCAAAACAATTATTATTAAAAAATAAAAAGCAATAATTTTATAAAAAGCAATAATGATTTTAAAATATCTTAGCAGTGAGGTAAAAGTTAATATCTTTCTTGTATACAGTATATAGTTAAATTAATAAATTTAAATATAGTTTTTTCATTATTTATAATTATAAATTAAATAATTCTTAAATTTCATGAATTTATGTAAATTTTTCAGATTTTCTTTGCTAATAAATTGATTGACAAACATTAAAGACTTACAAACAAATAGTGAAAAGAATTTCAAATCAAATTCTTAGCATTATACAAATGTGTCCTTTCAAAATTACTGAATTAATAAGTATGAATAGTTGGTGCTTTTTTTGTTATACTATTGTATCAATGTGAATTGTGTATTCACAATGAATAACATACTCTTTTTTTCTTTTTTGAGAGTAACTTTATAAAAAATGCTTTATTGTTCCAAACTGGATCAATAAACTCATGTTTACAAAGTTACCTTTGGCTCATTAAACGTTTAATTGTTTATACAATATATTTAATTGTTTATATATTGTTAAATGAGAAAATGAATCAGCTGAAATATACATTTGTCAGAAGACAGTATGTATCTTGAAAAAGAGTATAATCACATAGGACATTGGCATAATATGATTTAAGAAAACAAACTTCAAAATGCCAATCTCCAAAACACACAAAATTTAGGTAGAAGTTTTACAGGCCCAATCATACCTCTGAATGAGACAGTTGGAACCTTACCAGAGCTGTAGGCCATATCCATAAGAACAAACAGTTAAAGAAACCATACCTCTACACACAACCCTTTGCAAGATACAGCCCCCCCCGAAATCAGCCTACTTCCAGGATGCACATAATCGGAAGTCACATTACTCTGCTAAGACTGTCATGTTTAATTATTTAGCCCATGCAACTATGCAGACTTCGAGTAGCCTACTCGACTATTTGTGGAGTACTTGATGTTATATAGTTTTAGGGGTATGGGGCTCACCCCCATAACCCATAAAACTATACAGCATTGGTGCTTCAGTGTAAGTGATAGTGAGCACCGAAGCACCTGCAATGCTGTATAGTTTTATGGGTTATTGGCAGGTGCTTCAGTGCTCACTATTGCTTACACCAAAGCCTGTGGTGTAGCATAGTGGGGGCGGCAAAATTTCACAATACATAATAATATCTCGTAAAAATTTGAACCATTTCATTTCATATTTTTGTCGCACCTACAATTCGGACCGATTGAAATGAGCATGGAATAGTGTTACCATCCAGACAGTCTGGGAATCGACTCACCATCCGGGGGATATCGTGAATAACCTATCGGCCTTTTTTTTTTCTTGTATGATTCATTCGTATTCATATACACCTCCAATATCCAATAGAGCTAAGTCATCTAGGTTACTTAAGTCTCACTAGTCACTAACTGTAACTGATTTAGAACCAGCATGCACTGCACATTATTCTTCGCATTGCAAAATGACATACGCATGCGTCAGGAACTTCTGTTCGAACAAACCTCACCTGCCATCTGGGTCAGCAATTTTAAAAAGGTGGCAACACTAGCACGGAATTTTTCATTACTTATTCTTCGACGAAACTGAATTTTAGTCTTTTAAACTGAGATACCTAAATAAGGGGACAGCGAAATTTTCCTTTGCCCCAGGCAGCTGGCACCCACGCTACGCCATTGACCGAAGCACATGACTACATGCAGAGCACCAAGAATAGGCCGTAGTACCAATTCACAGTAAAAACTGACCTTTGGAGGTAAATATCTTGCAAAGAGTTTCACATACAGGCATGGTTCCATTGACTTTTTTTGCTCGTACAGGGGATCTACAGTTTCGGAAATGGCAAATTCCTCAGGGTTCACATTTTACTCTTTTAGATACTTTGCATATAGAAATATTCACACATATATAGAGAAATAACCTATAAGTAACATCTACAGAAATATGATCTATATTGACTCTTTTAGATCATTTAGTTATAATTCCTTTATTTATTCACTTATTAAAAGAAAAATCGTCTCTGGCTAAAGTGAAGATGAATTTCCTAAATTAATAAACACTTAAAACTAGAAACTAATGCATTTGATAATCTGAAGTGATTCAAAATACTGTATCTTGTTATAATCAGTTCTCTAACTTAAATCCTAACTTAACGCATTATTAATGAAAAATAAAAGCAGACTTTAACATTACAATTTCAAATACATACCTTGTAATTCTTTTCTTTCTCTTTTATGAGCCTGCATCAATCTTTCTTCGGATGTCAACTCCTCCACTTCGTCCGTCGACATTTTTGATGTGACGTCACAACAGAAAAATAAAAAAGATACGTATGTGAGAATGTAGATTTCGTAAAATGTTTCTATTTCTATATAAATACGAAATTGAAAAAATAGTATGACGTATATTTTTTTAATTATTACTATCTAAAATAATGTTTTCGTATCAGTTCAGAAATAATATAACTATCATTGTTTTAATAATTATAAGTTAACATTTATTAATATTAACTTACTGTATAATTATTACACCAGAGCCACCAGAGCGATAGGTTGCCACCTTGACCACTCGGCCATCCAGCAGCCGAAGGGATAATTCACGGTTTATAATTTTGAAGGACAAACTTTGTCTCTGAGGAAACGTTGTTTTCCAGAGTATTGCGATTCCACTAGCATTATAGACAAGAGTATTAGACATTGTACACGAGGGCCACACAAGAACTGTACCAAGGAAGGAATCGACAAAGATGCAGAAAAGCGTGTTAAATCATGTCCCGGCTGTCAGCTGGTCCAAAAATCCGTACCCGACACCTTTGTACAGGAATGTAATGCCAGATAGGCCATGGGATACACTCACAGTAGATCTATTAGGACCCCTTCCGTGGCGAGATGATCGAGCGGTCAAGGTGGCAGTGTACCGCTCTGTGGGGGCCCGAGATCGAATCCGGACGGGTTGAAAAATCTCCAGGAATTTTTCAGGGATGGTCCGTCCGGATATGTTGGGTCCCGTCCCTTACCACCCGGCTGCCCCATTGTGGGCCTGACCGAATCCATAATGGGCTTGCTAAAAGAAGCCCTCTTAGTGCCCACAGAACGAAAAGAGCTAAAAAAAATCCCTCGACTCTGACCGGGAGATGTTGACAGAACTAAGAGATTTGCACTCGTAACTTAACCCGTGATTTTCTTTCCTCTGTCAGTTCACAATTTTAACGATCGGGTGCAATGTCTCCCCGTCCGCCAAACCTTCTTTTTGTAATTTTTCCCAACTTCGATCTTTTGTTTACGGGCGTCTGTGTCTAAGTTCGACCATCTCGGTTCAACATTGATATATCGTTTAAAATATTTTTAATGAAAATTTACGATTTTTATACTTAATATTCTATCGACAATTATTCCATTTTGATCGCTTATAAATCAAAAAATTTACATTGCCTGCGTTATTCGGGTATATGTAATTCAACATTTACGAAAAATCTCAAAATGAAGGAAAAAATAACTGGCAATTTCCAGAAAACTTTCTATTTCAAGATGGCGTCGGCAATACGAAATCGAACGAATTCGAATCGGTGGAACGTGCGATAAATGCGTCACACGTTGTCATATGTTCTATGTCAGAATATTAACTAATTGCAAATGTTTTCTTTAAGATGCTAAAATAGTCCCCTTTTTTGTAAAATATATTTGTAATAATAAACAAAGGGTAAGATTTACCCTCCGAATGAGGGGGTCGCCACCCCCCAACAGGTAGCCCTCCCCCGTACGAACAATAAATGTCTAATGAACCACCCCCTACGCGCGACCCTTCGCGAGATATAGCCCTCCGAAAATTGTTCTACGGGTTACGTGACCGCATGTTAACCACAATTTACCCTGCGAATGAGCGGTCGTGACCCGTAGAACAATTTTCGGAGGGCTATATCTCGCAAAGGGTCGCGCGTAGGGGGTGGTTCATTAGACATTTATTGTTCGTACGGGGGAGGGCTACCCGTTGGGGGGTGGCGACTCCCTCATTAGGAGGATAAATCTTACCAATCTGTTTCGCGCTATAATCAGGCAAGCAAATGTTAAAATTTAGTAAAAACACTAAAGGATTCAAGTGTTTTCTATTGTCTTCAATTATGTTTTAGACCAGATTACGTGTGTACGACTTATCAACTGCAGCTTACAAAAACATAAGAAACTAACCTTTTACTTTTATTTCAAAAGTGATCCGAATACTTTTCCTTCTCGTCAAGAAAATCATCGTTTTCGAATGGGTTAATTAATATAAAGATGGGCAAACTCTTCACAATAACAGAATTGACAGAAGAAAACGCTTCTCTGAAAGTCTGAATTGAAGTATCGCCGCATTTCACGCACACACAATGAAAAATATACGCAAAACATTTCTTCTGTGTCATCTTGAGTTTCAAACGCTTCGACTTCTCAAATTTTTCAATTGCAGTCTCGTAATCAGATTTTCCGATGTAAACAGAAAAGCATTTGCCTTCATCCCATGATATATTGTTAATCTTTCTAAATAACCGTTCTTTGCGTAAGAAGAACTTGAACTACTATTGTTCTCTTTCAAATATATAGCATAATCTACATAGGCGATGACACACTGTTTCCTCTGCCGGTATATTTTCTTCGTTACACAGATTATCCGTGTGTTTCTTTATACGGTTAGATAATACGTCGTACACCAGAAGGTCAGTTTAGCTTAGTTCAAAAGGATAATTACAAATATTGAAGCCCGGAAGAGCTGGAAATACCGATATCTGTATTTCCGTTAATTTTTCTGTTGAAAACTTCGGAGCTGGAGAAAAACTTTTCCATGTCATGCGTGCCTTCCTTGCCTATTACAACTTCATCCGTTTCTGTGTTGGTAGTGACTACCTCATCTGTGTCATTAATTACAGACGTGACAGTCAATACTAGTCTTTTCGCAAATTACCATCACTGGTCGGATTGTACAAAAGACGTTTTACCGTTTATCCGAGGATTTCTTCGAAATTCAAATGAAATAAAAAATTTCAAAATCGAGTTTGAATCATTTGGTCCACGAACACACCGAACTTGTGTATCAAATTGAATAATTTAATGGCATTCGTGAGTACATCATTCCAATTACTTAAGGCTACGGTATTTACATGATTTGTTTTTATACTTGTGCTGCACTATTCACAGAGATGAATACAATCATAAAAATGGCGTTATTTATTATAGCAGGTTCATATGGTACTGCAACTCTTTTTACATGTTACTCAATGTCTCGCTTTATTTCCGAGAGAAGTCTTTTATATGTAACTAGCTGTTTCCCGCGACTTCGCCCGCAAAGGCTTTGCAAGCAAACCCCATTTATATTCAGTATTTCAACAACCATAGTAATTGTTATATAACACCTATCGCTGAGAATGATGAGAATTGCTGAGAATCAAACGAACTGTTTTCAATTTGATGAATTTTCTGGAATGTTTACAATCGTTCTATAATCGAACCAATATGCAATAACAAATTCGAATTTAAAACGGTTCAAACATTTGGTTAAAAAATCGAAATATATGAAAATATTTATAACAGTGTCTAAGTTAGTCAGGACAAGTAATTTTATATATTTAGATTATGAATTATAGATTTATGGGTATTTTAATGTATTAAAGATTCGCCTATTACCCGTTGTATCTGCATCTCACAAGCTAAAGGTAGATAAAAACGAATATTTTATTTGTGAAAATTGCATAATTTTGTTAGCGTGACGTATTTACGTTTTCTATTGTTACGTTGGCGATACGCGTTAATAATATAATATTGACGATTGTTGAGATTTGATTGTCGAAGTCTTTCGATGCGAATTTTGCGAATGCGAATATTTCTCTTCATTATGAGTTATTTAAGTAAGTTAATTTATGCTTATTCAACGTAAAATCATATTAAGTCTTTATATAATGTCGTAATTTCAAAAAAATACGAAAATAATAATAAATTTTATCGAGACGTTTAAATAACCGGAAAATATTATGCAGTAAATTGTAATAACCACCGCTGTAATATTTTCTCGGCTACATAGAAAAGATTAAAAGTAAAAATAAGTCAATGCCATTAATAACAATTAATTGTCAAGAGTTAATTCTGAGTGATTTAATTCTGCTGTTTTCAAAGTAAAGTAACGCATACAAATAAAATAAAACAGAATCTCCTAGCACAAATTTTATAAGCCACACCAGCCACTAAGCAAATAAGAATTACGACCGAGGAAATGTGTTACGCACCGATAATACTTTTAAACTTAAGAATATTTAGTTATTTATTTATTACTTAATAACTGCGTTAAGAGAATTTCTTAACTGCAAAAACTAAACACACAAGAAATTGAGAGAAAATTAACGAAATGTTTCTAAATGTTATTAATGATATTTAATTATGTTTGTGACATTTCGGACGTTGAACAGATTTTGTACAAATAATAATTCACCATATTCTTTCTTATTCAACATTCCGGTGTTNATATTATCACAGTATAAATTTGATTATAATAGAAATATTTATGAAACTAGGATATATTTTTATACATTGCAACTGTTGAGATTGCAGTTAGATATTTGAATTTGTTACTTAAACCATCTTTAAATCCCGTATTGTCTTTTAAATAAGGGAGAAAATATCTTACGTTTTAACTGAGCATTAAATATATAAAATAAAATGAACTAAAAGACAACATTTAAAACATAAGTAACAAACGAATGATAAACATAGCCAATAAGAGATTATAACAATTTTATAGTATTTTGAAGTAGAAATGATCGTATACACTCAGAGATGTAAATTAAACAATAACTATTCGTTTTTAATATATAAATTTTGATGACATTTCAGCATTGTTGATTATCTAACAATTTGATATTGTGGATCATTATATTATTTACTGACATTGCGAAATACATTTATAGCGTTAAATTCAGTTTTCATAATTAAACGAATAGAAACAAAACACATTTTTCAGAGACAATTTTTTTTCAAGTTGCAGCCCAATTATCCAGCATAAAGCGAGTCCATTATATAGTTGATCCTGATACATTGCCTACAAAATTCTCTGGCGCGTTTCTTTTTAAACACACCGAATATCTATTGTGTTCTTATATTTATAAATATCTACTTTTTGCTATAAAATTACATTCTAAATATACGTTAAAATCTTGTTATATAATATTTGAATTAACCTAGTTTAATAATTACTCTGTTTTCTTTTATATTTTAGTTTCTGATTCTTCAAGTGATGTCGAAGACAATAGTCAAACTAAGTCTTCCCACTTAGATCAGGCTAATGCAAGAAATTTCATTAAACATACAAATATTACTGAAATTATCGAAATACCCTCGAATAGAAAACGAGAAAAAAAAATCGACGAAATTTCTGATATTTCCGATGACGAAGGATTTTCTTCTAACGTAAGCTGATAGATTATATTAATACTAAATAATTCTTACATCCTTTTAAAGTTTATCGCAGAAAAACAAATTACGGTAATGTATTATTGAAATAGGATTCAAGTTATTTATTTATTATTAAATAAATGTTATGCCAATTAATTAAAAAATATTTTGATATTTGAATGTTGTTCCTAACAGAAATCAGAATCACTTTCTAGTTTCCATGTTTTCATTAAACATGCAATACGATTTTTAATACATTAATTTGCAATAAAATTGCTGAATATGGATTTAACATTTTTTATGTTAATTCAAAATTTAGAAATATTTATTTGTCTTTATTTTACAGAATTTCGACGAGCGTAAGAATGAAGATTTTGATTATTCTCCGGAACAATTCACGGAAACAGTGGACGACATCTACATTCACAGACCGTTAAAATGGGCTTTTATAAATTTAGAAAGATTTTCTCTTGTAAACGAAATCATTTATGAAGAAGACGAGTTTGAATCCGAAAGTGTATCATCAGAAGACGATGATTCCATCCACGCAGCTAGCGAATTAAGAAACAGTGAACATTCCGATGATGTCGTCGACTCCATTAACGAAATTCAACAAATGAATGTTGAAAGTGAAGTGTCGTCAATATCTTCCACGAAAGATGACATTCAGGAAGAAAACTTTGTTTATAATATGAATACGACATCATTACAAGTCATTCAATCCACTAAAAGTGAAGAATCTGAGAAAGGTAAGATTACAATTATTCAAAATACACTACTAGCCAAGTAAAATGCAGCATGAAAAAATTTAATACACAATTATTAATTTTTAAAGTTTATTTACAGTTTTAAAGTTATATTTAACAAAATTATTTCGTATGATTTCAATATTTATATTTTATATAATTTCACTACATTAAGAATATTGTTGACCGAATTTTGTGTATTAAATGTACAGTAAATACACATACAACATAAATGTAAAATAAGCATTTGTAGCGGCGTGACGTGAAAGAATAATTCGAATATTGTTTTAGTAATATTTCAATTGTCTCGAAACAATAATGTGTCGATGTTCGTGTCATTAATGCGGACAACAACAAAAGATGCAATTCACTGAATTAGCTTGTGGTTTTCGACATTGCCTATTTAATATTCAAAAATACAATTCATTTTTGAATGAATATTTACTACGGATGGAGGTTTCACGTAATTCTTATTCAGACACTTAAGAAAGACATAATGGCGTGGTTTCTTCTTTTCTGCTAATCCTAAAGTCTTGAGAGTCTTATTTGACTCGTACAAAGCAGAAAATGGCTTTTTTGTATTATTGCCAAGAGCATAATTAGGAATTAAAATATACTGTTGTTATTATAATTAAATTTAAAAATAACGAAGTGAATTTTTTTTGTTTCAGTGTATGATGATAAACAGAAACAAAAGCAGGAGTTTCAAGATGTAACTGAATGCGAAGATAGCAAAAATGAGGATGATAGATCTTTATCCGACACGGAAACGATCGAAGAATACGAAAGAAAAGTGAGAAAATATTTTCTACATTTCATTAGTTTAGACGAATAAAACTATTTTCATCTTTTGCTAAATATATACTTTTAATTATATTCTGACTTTTTTCTCCATGTCTGAAATTCTTAAATACTTAAATGTGTGCAGTTTTAAAATAATTTTTATATTCACATTGTAAAAATTTAAATACTAAATGGAAACCATTAAAGTCACTTAATTTCCTTAGAAATGACAATTTCTATCTTCCAACACCAAATTTTATACTCGTTTACGTGTTTAAATATCCAATTATATGAAATTGTTTTTCTAATCGAAATAATTGTAAAATTTTATATTTGAAATTCTTTTAATTAATCTTTATACTGTTTGCAGAAAACTACAAACTGCATGGACATTTTTTGGTATTTTCTTCGCAAGTTTCCATCTGTGGTGTGTCCATGTTTGAAAAGAAGAAAGTAGAGTGGTCGATATTTAATAAGGTATGTAAAGTATTATGTGAATTATAATTCTTCACGTCTCGTTTATAAAGGTTGATCGATTTAGCACGTTTATGTCAATTACTTCTTAAACAGGTAAAGGTTCACATAAAATGCCACTTAATTTAAATTCACACGACGTCATTCTACTAGTGAACAATTCCAACAGAGTCTAATGCTGCGACGCCTTGTCATAAACACTGGAAGGTCAATTCTTTTACAAAATATTGTTGGAGTTTTAGAGTAAAAAATGGACGGCAGAATTACACTTAGAAAAATTCTTCAGTTTTCTACAGTTATCGCTCATCCTCACACTAATGCCATTTAGATTACGCAAAAAAGGGTGTTAATATTTGTTTCATTAACCATTTACTTTTCATATTCTGTATCTATTTGCCCTAGCAATTAGCGGTAACTTTCGGAATTCGATGCAATCGACACGCCGATGTTTATCTGTATTTTAAAACTTCGATTAATGCCGCGTAACTCGAGGCAAAAACAGCTTTATTCTGAATAATTAAGTGCAATTTACGATCTCGAAGTAATGGAGATTTTGTAGTGAACGCAGTTACAGATTATTAACCGTAATATTTTCTTTGCTAACACGGTAGTTTCGTCTCTGGAAAGAAGCTGTGGCGATACAACAATTCTGTTACGCCCACAGTCTAGTTTAGTTGATTTAGTAAATAACAAAAGTTGCCAAAGCAGAAGTTTCCAGTAGTTATTGTTCTTAAATAGGCATTGTTGTATTAATAATGGAAAATTTCCTATTGAAATTACAACTAATACCATAGTACAGTTATTGCTAAGCTGTAAGAGTTTTCTACTGTATAATCTATGCAGAAGATTACCTGAGTTATGAGGGTTTTCTTTTAATTAGAATACTGATCATACATACGTTTGAAAAAATTATAATATCGTGAATTGTGCTACATAAAAGTTAAATACACAGCATCTATGGCTGCGCTCTGGATTCCAATCAATCAATTCCATCAAAATCAAATGACATCTGCATACCACAATACATATAATAAGTATGAATGTGACTGTGTGTCTATAACTAAGCACGTAAACTAGTTTTCTAAAGTAATTCAAAATGTTTATATTATATTTTGATATAACACAAATAGTGATTTTAAAAAAACTTATAAAATAAACCAACATTGCGAACACTAGGGAAATCCTTCGAAACTAATTTAAGTTCCCAGGAGTCCGCGGTACTCCAGTTTGATAAAACACAGATCGGTGGATCTATGGAAAACTTTGGCCGAGCATAGGCCGTTAGTTCGTACATCAGATGCAGAACAATTCTTTGCATGTAATCAAAATGTGTTTATTATTTACAGAAAAATGGTTATTGAATAGATTAAAAATATCAACAAATCTTTACATTTTAATTAAAAATAATATTAATATTCTTTCAGGAGAAACTTCAGAGAATGCCAACTTTCTTGTTCTTTATTATCTTTTCTACTTGAATATTCTAAAAATTTCTGTTTATGAAATAAATCTGTTAGAAGAAATGTGTTGAATCAGTTACGCTGTTAAATAAGAATTTATCAGAAAGTTGCTTGGTGCATTAAAAAAAAAATCATTTGAAAAACCACCGACGAAATCGTGTTTATAAAACATATTTTATCTTTCCAACAAAATTTCGTCACGGGAAAATTCTAAAGTTTATGTAAATCTGGACGCAATCTGCAATTCATTTTGCCAACGATCGAATAAATTTTGTCGGCAGATTTTCTATAGATTTATATCGATTGTTATAACCATAAAAGCGTAACCGGTGCTTGGCTTATAATTTGAAATCTCTTCACAACTTTGTTGCATTTATTCTAAAACAATGGAGTTGATCTGTGTGTTATTTCAATTTAAGAAAATTAATTTGAAAAATGTTTAAAACTGTGATGTTTTGTGTAAAAGAGTCTTTGTGCTTTAATTATTTAGGCCTATTTGTTAAAGTTATTGAACGTATTAAAGCACAAATCGTCAGTATTCATGTTTTATTCTTTCTAATCAATAAAATTTATATGTCTTCATGCTGTGTGTCGTTAAATTTGTCAAAGACAATATTTGGTTATTTTACATTTACACCACAAATATATAAAAGTGTTAAAGTAAAATGAAGGAGGCAAGAAAGCTTTTTGGTAGGAGAGAATTGAGATGTAATAGTTTCGTTTATCCAGCTGTATAAAGCATACAACATATAACTGTTTAAAATATTTGATAATACCTTAGTGTAACAAGCCAGAAATTAAATAACACATCGAAAATATTATTAAGAACGTCAGTTAGAAAGGAAAATATACGACATCAATAGGAGACCGTTAACTGGGCGACAAAATAAAAATTTTTTATTGTTTCCTCCATTAAAATCACCATTATTTTCTATTAATTCAAGAAAAATTTAATATGTACAGTATTAAAAAAACGAATTGAACGAATTAAAAGAACGATTTTGTATTAACAAACATTTATGCACATTACATTATTTATTTATTTATTTTTAGAAGTGAGTAGGAAAGTCCAAAAGAACGATTGCTATCGATCCCCTAAAATTAACAAATATACGTAAAAAGAAAGACAACAGTTATATAAAATTAAAGATATTACACTATACGTTAAAACGAAAAAGTATAAAAGTTCTTCAAAAGAATTTCTTTTCGAAGAATCGGTTTTATTTGATGTGCATTGGTAACCCCTTCTGACGTCCAATAATTAATGCCAAATTATTTAACCTAAGCAAACAAGCCAATGACAAAAGTTGTTTTATATAAACCGAAGTATGCCATTGGCTTGATTAGTTGCTTGTCCTCTAGACCCGTCTGTAATTTAACGTGAAAATTACAATCTACGTAAACAGGAAATTTATTTTTCTATTATTATAAATTATAAATTTTATTGTGTTCGAGATAATTTGAAAATATTATATTAATAATAATTTCAAATTAATGATTGTTTACTCTTTAAAAGCTCTATTTACTCAAATCTGCAATTTAAAACACAAAAAAGGTCCTCGAAAAGTTCGAGAGGAGGAAAGATTTACGATGTTTCCGAACCTACGAATTTTTTAAGGCAAAATTTTCCAATGCAAAAGAGGTATTTTTTAATGAAAATGTCTTTTACTTCTAAATTAACTATTTACTTTTACTTTCTTTGCCGTTATGTATATATAACAATGGAAAGTGTTGGAATGGAAGACAGAAGAGGGCCATGTTTCATATCTTCAGAAGGGTCGAACATAAAGATTTTGCCCGTTATTAANTCATTAAGATTTTAATTTCCTTAAACTGTTTACCAATTTAAGAATTAATTTAAGTTTTATTAAATATAGTAAGGTTAATTGAATATCCTTATTTATAATTTTAGAAAGATGGTTTTGAGAATCATCTCATAGTAAGTAAACTAAAAATTAATTGCAAGTAGCTTTGCCCTTTTTTATTGCATTAAAGAAAGTACTTACAGTTAATGTTTTGTTTTCTTCTTTTCTTTGAGATTATATTACATTGTATATATTACATTAGAGCATTGATTATCCAAATCAATTGAGGACTGGGGTAGTTCGGAAAATCGATTTTTCAGATAACCGATTATGTACAAAAAAATATATTAACCTATCCCATGTTGAAATTTGTTCAAATCCTGGCATGTCCTTAAGTACCTTCTCATGGTTGCACCAGTGCTGCCAGTTAAAATATGCACACCAACAAAAATAATATTGGAGTAGCCCAAGACATAGCCAAAGATTTCAGCGCCACAGCACTAGCGGAAATTTAAATTTGCTGACTGAAAAGCTTTTGGTTAATTGACGTTTCAGTTTATCAACATTCGGACAATTGATGCTCTACAATATATACAAAAGAACACACCATAGGAGATTATGAGGAGAAGCTTGTAGGCAAAGCATCAGGGCCAAGTGTACAATTTTATTTAAATAAAACTCACAACATCTGCATATTGTGTATTAAAAAGAAGTTTCTATTTTCACAACATATCAGTTAATTACAGAACTGTGCAGCTGGACCTAAATTAGTTGAAAGTGATTCAACCACACATTAATTATTCTGTACAATTAATTTCCATTTGGCAGTATTAAATGATGCATCTCATATAATCATTACACTGTACACTTGCTCCAGATGCTTTGCCCACAAGCTTCTGTTCATAATCTCCTATGGTGTGTTCTTTTGGAAAACTATATATATAAGAATAGCACAAAAGTCAGCCCCCTACCTCTAAGTAGTAAGGGGTAGTGGTATGATATTTTGAAGCCACATTAAGGGTCTAGAAGAGCTGCATGTGGCTCATGAGCCATAATTTGACCACCATGGCTATATTGTCATTATATTTAGATAATTGAATCCCCAAATTTATAAACATTTGTTTTATTTTTTGTTAAACTTTTTGCCATTTGCATTTTTATGATATAATAATAAAGAAATCCAATATATAAAACAAGGAGTAATAATATTTATGAATATTGTAAAACTAAAAGGCTTTGCCACCTCTATAATTTAAAAGTCTGATAAACAAATTAAACAAGTCCAACCACTAGTATGGTAAGGAGTCATATCATTTTTATTTTGATAAAATATTTTTCAAGCATTAGATTAAAAATTGCAATAATTCTAACATATTGTTCCATTATTAGCTTATCAATGGTTATACTTGTTTAACTTTTACTATGGAGTCAATAGAAGATGAAACTAGAATGCCAATAAGCTAAAGAAAAAAACAACTTCACAAATTCAAAATTATTTACATAATACTCATTTTGTGCTAATTTTTTTGGCAGTTTCAATGGGTTGACTATGGGAAGAACAAAAACTCTGGCTTAAGTGGTATCTATGAGAAAAGGACTGTTTTGAAATGTTACTTCATCAACTAATTGGAACTATTTTGTTGTTACAAACTCACTTTTATAGTTTATTGGAAGTTTTTTAATTTAAAAAAACATATCTTTTAATTAAAAATTTTTTATTGTACAGTACCTTGTCTGTGATATTGATAATTTCAGGAAAATTATCAGTTAAAAATTTCACAATTTTAGTGTGACCAAGAATAACTGCTTTATGAAGACTTGTCATTCCAAAATTATCCTTAGCTGGAACTAATTCTTCGTTATCTAATTGAGTTCTTAGTTCTGTCAAATCATCACGTGAAACTGCATTATGTATTGCACTAATTCTGTCCATCATCAGTGGTAACGAATGAGTAATATATTCTTGTACTATTTTATTTCCTGAATTCTCTCGACATATCATTTCTCCATGACCATCTATAACTGCTTGTTTTAATTTATCTAAATCTTCCTCACTCATCCATTTTCGAATATTTGCAGATGTTATTTCTAAACCTGATATGAAAGCAAAAATATTATATTAAAACACTTAATGTAAACAAAACTAAATATAAAAATAATTTATTTAATGCGTAATACTAACATTTCATTATGAATTATTACTGTATTAAACTAACTTAAAATTTGAAATTTATGTAGCACATTATGCTGAGTTTGAACTAATTGTATGTTTTGATTATCATTCTATTTTTTTGTTTGAATTTTTTTATTACTTATACGTGAGGCATTTAATCTGAAAAAAAAAATGAAATATTTCCAAAGTGAAGTATTGCAGATAAAAATGTTTAAAATAAAATATGTTTGTTTTGAAGGCAGAAAGGTGATAGATTTATTTAAAAAACTATTAATTCTTAAATACTTCCAAGAATGCTTTTGCCTCACACCAGGGCCATAACAATTGCTCCCGCAGACCCTGCATGCGGAAGTCCAGCACTTTTTGGGTCCCACAACTGGAAGACATTTTTGTTTGTTACACTCAAATAACTCAAACTTAAGTATGTTTATTGCATGGAATTAAATTGGTTACACACAAATGTAGGAACAAAAAACTAACAAACAATACAGAACAACAATTTAGAGTGATTCATGACATAGAAAAGACTGACCACTAATTCTCACCTCCCTTCCCAACATATGATTGGAATGTCATAGTAGGAATATGGCATTTCAACCCAGTAAAATAAACTGACAACTTTATGACAATTTTGACCACAGTAGAACAAATAACAAACCATCTGCACAAACTTAATACACAAATTCTAACATTGTAACATATATTCAATACAGGTATACCTCACCTTATGTTGGTAATTGGTTTCAGGAGAGGCAAAATGACGTAAGTTGAATTTACTTGTCACTAGGCTAAACCACAAATAACCATTCCCAGTTCTGTATTTTATTTATAAATGCATTTTTAATAATATACAGATAACCCCCGTATAACACAGGAGTTACGTTCCAAAAAATTGCCATGTTATGCAAATCCGTGTTATACGAAACAAAGAACTAGTGCGGAAAGGGAGTTAGGTTCCAAAAATTAAAAAACATGCTGTTAAATCCTTATTTAAATTGGATTTATTATTCATTTTTTTNAGGCCGTCCGCCATAGTCTTTTTTTCCTCTCTACTCTACGCTACGCTACGCACGACGAGTGGATGT